GTCCAAAGAGGGGTAAAGAGGTTCCTTGTGTGATGGCTTTGTAGGACTATGTTTTGGTTTCACTGTTGGTTCAGACACCTCTGTGGCAGAAGGAGGCTCCTTGGCCTTTTCCTTCTTTTCCACCGGTGTGGAAAGCAATTCTTCAGAGCTACAATGGTAGGGAGCATCCCCAGGGTTAAGGTTAACAGGGTAGAGGTGAGTGGTTTCTCTTGAGTGAGAGCCTCTGCCAGAATAAGGCAAGGAGCAGAGGATGCAGAAGGAGCAGCATGAAATGGATTAGTTGGAGGATCGAGAGCAAATGGCTTTGGAGGGGGAGGCTTAACCAAGGAGCCTCCCAAAAGGAACAAGGGAGCAGGATACAGGGGTTCTAGGGTGGGATCAGGGTTAGACACTGACTGTCCCATAACTTATGGGAGTGTACTCACCCGCAGACTGATTGGCCCATCAGCAATCTTCCGTCAGGAGGAGAGGGTAGACTTTCCTCACACAGCACCAGTCTGTCAGCTCCTTGCCGGCACATCCAGGTGAAAGGAGAGAGGTCCTGGTCCCTCAGGGTCTCTCAGGGGCTGAGCGGGATGGTGAGTGTTGATGGCCCAAAAGAAACACACAGGGCTGGGAGTCTTGTCGAAGCAGGAACTCAACTTTAATGTATCAGCCTCTCGCTTATATAAACTTGGAGCATAGGGAGGAAGAGTTTTGGTGGAGTAGGAGTAGGAGTAGGAAGAGTAGGAGGTGGGGAAGGGTGACAGAAAGTATGGGGTGACTGACAGGGCCAATGGCAAAGCTCTACATTAGCAACACCAGGGCAGAGGCAGGGCCAAACAGGTCTTGTTGTGTCACCCCCATATGGAAGTGACAGAGACAGGTCTCAAAACTCAAGTCAGGCTCGAGTTTGTCCTCAAGGCCCAACCAGGGCCAAAATGGGGCCCAACAAATTTTCAGTTGAAAATTTTGAAGGTGGCTTAGTGTCCCAATTTTTCCACTGGGGGCACTATCTACTATAGGTAGTCTCTTCAGGTTCCATCTCCCCACTGTTGGGCATTTTGGCTAAGGTCATCCACATTTATTCCTGGAAAAATCTCCCATTCCAGGTCTCTAGGACTTTTTAGGGGTTCACCCCACCCTTGGTAGCTGCATATTTTCATTCATTCACTTGCCCCTCCGGGTTTATCTCCTGCTTCGCCTGCACCCCACCTCTCCCACCCAGTTGCCTTCTTCCCTATGCTTTCCCTGATCTTTTTGTTCCTTTTTGTAAATGGGATTGAAACATCCTCATGTTTGTCCTTTTGGGTCTGGGTCACCTCACTCAGGATGATATTTTCTAATTCCACCTATTTGCCTGCAAAATTCATGATATCCTTGTTTTTAATAACTGACTAGTACTCCACTGTGCAGATGTACCACATTTTCTTTATCAATTTCTGATTTTGCTAAACTGAATACTGTCTCTCTGCCTTTTAGTTAGTTTGGGTAAGGGTTTATCTGTCTTGTTGAATTTCTCAAAGAACCAGCTCTTGCTTTTGTTGATTCTTGTTTCTTTTTCTTTTTTTTTCTTAATTGGATATTTACTTATTTACATTTCAGATGCCATCCCCTTTTCCCATTTCCCCTCCCTAGAAACCCCTTATCCCATTCCCCCTTGATCTTTTTGCTTTTATACCATTTTAATTACATGCAAGTATTAAGGTTATTTGTAGGTTGAGGAACTAACAATACAATAGATGCAAATGGTCAAGGGACAAGCAAGATTATAAACATAGTCAAAGAACAAGCAAGGCAATAAAGTTCTGTGTTCACTCTCATGATCACCATTTTTAAGGACTTATCAGGATGACCAAAATATCTGAGCCTACTTTCCTGTCCTAGCCCAAGATCATTTTCATGTCTGAAGACTACTTCCTTGTTCTAAAATTTAGATTCCTGTCTGAAATTACTTCCTTGTTCTAGCCTAAGGTTTAGATTCCTGCCTGAAGTCACTTCTTTGTTCTAGCCTATTGTCACATTCCTGCCTGAAGCCTACTTCCTTGTCCTTAGCTAATGTCATATTCCTGCCAAGCAGCCCATTTCCTTGTCCTTGGCCCATGTCAGATTCTTTGCACTAGGAACTTTTTACACTTGGCATTTTTTTTTTTTTACCAACATGTCAATATCTTCTGTGGTATATTCTATGCCTGCGACACTCTCTTCCATCTCTTGTATTCTGTTAGTGATGTCCATAGTTCCTGTTCCCTTTCTTAGGTTTTCCAGCTCCAGGGTTGCCTCCGTTTGTGATTTCTTTAATTGTTTTTATTTCCATTTTTAGGTCTTGTACCTTTTTGTTCATTTCCTTCACCTGTTTGATTGTATTTTCCTATGTTTCATTAAGGTATTTGTTTTCTCTTTAAGGACTTCTACATGTTTTCCTGTGTATCTTGTATTTCTTTAAAGGAATTATTTATATCTTTAAAGGCCTCTATTTATCTTTATGAGATGGGGTTTAAGATGAGACTCTTGTTCTTTATGTGTGTTAGAGTATCCAGGGCTTGCTGTGGAACAAGAGCTAGGTTCTGGTGTTGCCAAATTACATTGGCTTCTGTTGATTACATTCTTGAGCTTGCCTTTGGGCATCTAGTTGTCTTTGGTGTTAACTGGCATAGATGTCTCAGATTGGAACAGGCCTTTTTAGAGGCAAGTGGAGCTGTGTGTCTCTGATTAGAGTAGTCCTTTTGGGAGCTAGGCAGGTCTATGGGGTCTGGGAACAAGCACAATGATCTGCCAAGAGTACAGGTAGATGTGCAGACCAGAAGATCTCTGGATTGTGCAAGGATTTTTTTTTTTTTAATTTGAACACTATATAATAGAGCCTTTGAGGGGTGTGATGCCCCCCCCGAACATCCTTTTTTTTGTCCCAGTAGAACATGTTTTATTTTAAAGATGCTAATCTCTATGAATTATAATTGCTGCTTTAGCACCAGCCTGAATAGTATTCTGCCTTGAAATTTCCTATGCTATCAAAGTAGGCTTTGAACTTGACCCAGTCATGCTTCACAAAACAAATATTCCAGTATGGTTCTTGGTCAAAATATCTTAAAAATGGCCTCATTCTAGTTCTTGGTACAATATTTGTTCCTCTCTGAGCCAGGCCTCTACAGTCTACATTTTCTCAGCACTTTTATCTTTCAGATTTCCACAAGAAAATTCCACTAAGCTTTTCCCGTAGTATTCAGTCGTTTTCTATCCTAAATTTCAAAAAATCTTACATATTACTCAATTCTAAAGGCTTAAAAGCCATGTGATAAGGCTTACCACAGCGTTGTTATCATTTCTCAGTACTAACTTCTTAGTTTCCTTTTCTGTTGATGGATAAAAGATCCTGACAAAAGCCACTTTGGAGAGAAAGGGTTTATTTTACCTCACAGTTCCAAGTAAGGTCCATCAGACCAGGGAACTTCTAAGTTCAGAAGCTTGGGAGAATAGAATGGAATGCATGCTTCTTTGTAGTGCTCAGTTCACTGTTGTCATCCTAGGGCTCTGCCACAGGAAATGATGCCTCCCATGTTTAGGCTGGGTCTTCTATTAGTCATCTACAAACATTCTCACAGTCCCACCCAATCTACATAGTTACTCAGTCAAATGATTCTAGACTGTCAAGTTGACAATTAAAAGTAACCACAGAAAATATTTTTCCAAATTTTAAATGTTTGTTAGTTCTTTATTAAACTCATTTTTAGATTAGCAATGTAAACAATGAAAGGTACTTTATGATTAGTTAATATACAAGATAGTGAGAAATTACTTTTAAAAAAGTAGAAAATCATTACATTTTTGACTCTTTGTAATTAACTTTCTTCTAGTTGCTAAATACCTCGTGCTCTTTGTGACTATTGGTAAATACCACAGATATTGTCATCAGGAATGTGAAAATTGTCCCTAAATCTGCACATCAATAAGTGAATGATTTTACAGACTAACTGGCACCTAGCCTAATCATATTTCCAATAGGTTTTGAAAGCACTGCCACCAACTCATTTGTGCATAGATGAAGTGAATTCTACTTTCTGGGGAACTGAAATCAAATCACCCTAGTGTTCTTAGCTAGGAGTTTTAAAAAAAAACAATCATCACTTACTTTGGGAAAGAATCATGATAGGAAATCCAACAATCTCTGTGGGGCAAATAGTATGTCCCTTATATCTTTCCTTGGGACAGAGAATAGAGCTGTGCTGGATGCTGTTGTGATCTTACAGCTGGTTAAAGTTGCTCACTGCCAAGACATACCACTAGAGTTTAATCCCCAGGCCCCACGTAGTAAAGCCAAATCCTGTAAGTTGTCTTCTGACCTACACAGTTATATCATGACACCAGCTTATGGCCAACTCCCAATAGCATAGCTTTTTATTTCTCTGTCTCTCTGTCTCTCTTCTCTCTCTTCTCCCATCCCTACCCCTTTCTTCCCTCTGTGTGAGCATGCACAAACACACACATACACACACACACACACATATGATTTCAAAATTCTTTAATGTGGTGGTGGTGTTGCATGCCTTTAATCCCAATACACAGGAGGCAGAGACAGACAGATCTCTGATGTCAAGGCAATTCTGGTCTACAGAACGAGTTCCATGATTGCCAGGGCTACACAGAGAAACTCTCCCTCAAACTTTAAACTTACATATAAGGCGATATTAGGTTTCTATCTGACAAAGTGAAAATTTTCTGGTATAGGTAAAAGAAATACCCTCATTAAGGGGTTAGAGCATTCAAATAGCTGACCCCCATGCTTTTCTCACATAAACATAGATACCTATGCACAGACATTTCACTTAAAAGGAAAAAAAATAAGTGTGTTGAGAAATTAGCAATGTTTGGTCATTCTTTTTCCATTATTGCCTCTTAATTATATCTTTGTCTCCTGTCTTTTTTCTTTTATAATAACTGCAATTATGATATCATTTAGGACTACAATTGAGACCTTTTAAAGATTGTCCATGCCCAGCTATCTTCACCTTTTTTCTGTTTAGTGCTGATGGGGCCCTTGGTGTGAGTATCAGTGCACCAGGAGGTGCTATTGCTTCTGTGCCTAACTGGACATTGAGGGGGACTCAGCTGATGAATGGAACATCAATGTCTTCCCCCAATGCTTGTGGTGGCATTGCCCTGGTACTTTCAGGTAAGGATATTACATACTACTCTCTCCTTTCTTTATTGTAGGCTATGCTTTCTGAAGTTCTCATGGTGAGAGTGGGTAGAATAGAAATGTCCTGGACCCAGAATAAGATGTAAAGTAGAAAATGATTCATGGGATAATAATCTTTTGAGTGTGTATTCAGTCCTTCAGGAAATAAAATGTATTGACTACTATTGATTATCAAATAATATTTTAGTTCTGTAGCTAAATCAGTGGATAGAACATCAGAACTACTTTGATGATATGGAATTAAGGCAAACTTTAAACAAATTGAAAATGTTTATGCTACATTATCAGGTGTTGAATGCTGTGCAGTATTAAATAGGGTCATCAGGTCACTTAGAACTCAGACTTCTGCTGCAAACCTGTTCTCTTCAAGTCTTACCTCCCACCTGCCTCTTCTTGTTTTCTCTTTTTCTGACTCTTGTAACTTTCTCCTATGCCCAGTATGGATGAGCCACAATGGGGAGGAGTAGTCTGCCTCCAATTCCCAGTCAGTAATCACCTGAGGGTGAGTCAGACCTCCAGGACAAATCCTAGTCTCTACTTATTTCTACTCTTTCAAACTGACGAAATATTTCAAGGTCATACCGTCTCTCTTTGAGTATTAAGCTCTCTTGCCTGCAAATCCTTTCTGCCATGTTTCAGAGTTGAAAACTTACACATTCTATAAGAATCAGCTCATCTACCAGTTGTTCCTAATGGACTTTCATCTTTTCTGGATTCCTATGGATGTAATTATAGCTTCCTTAGTTTGCATCATGGAGTACTTTTTTTTTTGCATATTACAATATCTTACTGGTAACATATATGAAGGATTTGGGGACAAAAATAGTATATAGTATTCATCCATTAACAGTGAGTAATATGTTGGCAATAGCTTTCAGTGTTTGAAATCTGGCTATATACTGTAATCACATGGTACATGGACATTGAAGATTCTGTTCGGCTGTGAAACATGTCAGGTGTTTTTGATTTAAGTTCCACTGGTGATTATAAAATATAATTGAGTTGAAAATTGCTGTCACCAACTGTAGTGCTGAATCGATGATATTTTAAAGAAAATGTCATTGGAATTCCCCTAAGATGCCTGCTTGGTACATCCATGTCATATCTACATAGCCTGCATTGATGTGATTGCCGGTTGGCATGCAATGAATTTTTTTCTAAAGTATTTGTGTGATGCAAGCAGTTTAAATCAACTGTTTAATTTTTAAGAAAACATTTAGAAGTGAATGTCAAAAGAAGACAGCAGAAGAACTTACGTGTTAACATCTTGGTGAAGGGGCGTTTCAACTAATGAGTTCATTAACATTAGTTTCTAAGGTATTTATTTGTTTGTTTTTAGGGCTGAAAGCAAATAATGTTGACTATACTGTTTACTCAGTCAGAAGAGCTCTAGAAAATACTGCAGTAAAAGCTGACAATATAGAAGTATTTGCCCAAGGACATGGAATTATTCAGGTACTGTTGTCTGTGTACAAAAATAACTAGAAAGCATTGAGATAATGTTGTAAATACTGCTTTATAATGGTGATTCAGCATGTCTAAAGTCTAGATGTAACCATTATAGAACTATAATCAAAAAGGGCACAAAGACTCTTTGTAGGTAAAAGAGATTAACTACATTTAAGTAAAAGAAACATTGAGGGTGTATAAAGATTAGAAATTCACAGTGGTAAAAGTAAGCATTGGTTTGGTCAGGCATAAGTCACTAAGTGACCTTAGATCACGTGAGAATAACTGTGAATGCAGACTGAAGTGGAAGATCATCAGAATGGTATTTTCTTTAAAAATGTAAATTTACTTCTTTTCTTTCTCTTTTGTCCTTCCTTCCTTCCTTCCTTCCTTCCTTCCTTCCTTCCTTCCTTCCTTCCTTCTTTGCTTCCTTGCTTCCTTCCTTTTTTTTTTGTTTTTTTGTTTTTTTGGGTTTTTTTGGTTTTTTGGTTTTTTTGAGACAGGGTTTCTTGTAGCTGTGGCTGTCCTGGAACTTGCTCTGTAGACCAGGCTGGCTTCAAAACAGATATCTCTTTGTCTTTCTCCCATGTGATGGGAGTAAAGGCATGGGCTACCACTGCCCAGCTGGTTTACCATCTTAACTGTGGTATTGATTTAGTTTAAAGAAGTGAATATAGGAATTAGCTTCACTACAGCTGAAATTTAATTGATTCATAATTTGTCATAAAATATTTTCTTTACCTAGCCATTTACACGTTACCATTTATATTCTTTTAGGTTGACAAAGCTTATGACTACCTCATTCAGAATACATCATTTGCTAACAGATTAGGTTTTACAGTTACAGTTGGAAATAACCGTGGCATCTACCTCCGAGATCCTGTTCAGGTGGCTGCTCCTTCAGATCATGGTGTTGGCATTGAGCCTGTGTTTCCAGAGAACACAGGTAAGTACTAGGGTGGCAATAGCAGAACCATTTGTATTTGTGGCTTAAATGAATGGTAAATAAAAGAAGAATGCTGCTTTGCTTGTCTAATGTTCTAAACTAATGGTTATCCTCCTTCCTAGTACTGTTACTAATTAATACAATTCCTCATGTTGTGGTGGTTCCCAACCATGAAATTATTGTAATTTTGTTAGTTATGAATTGTAATGTAAATATCTGTGTTTTCTGATGGTCTTAGGCAGCCACTGTGAAAGATTTGTTATGACCCAAACCACTCACTGTTCTTAGAAGATATAAATTAACAAGTGATTATTTTAAAGCTTAATAAATTTGGAGGAAATTTTTTTTAAATTTTATTTTTTTATTGGATATTTTATTTACATTTCAGATGTTATCCCCTTACCCCATTCACCCACCACCCCCCAACCGCCGGCCAAGGAACCCCCTATCCTACCCCCCTTCCTCCTGGTTCTCTGAGGATGTGCCCTCACCTACCCTCTACTCCCACCTCCCCACCCTCGAATTCCCCCATACTCAGTGTCCAACCTTCATGGAACTAAGGGTTTCCTCTCCCACCTATGCCCGACAAGGCCAACCTCCCCTACATATACCATGGGTCCCTCCCTATGAGCTCCCAGGCTGGTGGTTTAGACCCTGGGAGTTCTGGTGGGTTGGTATTGTTGCTCTCCCCATGAGACTGCAAACCCTTTCAGCTCCTTCAGTCTTCTCTCTAACTCCTCCATTGGGAAAATATTAATTAGGAACCCCAGTACCATGGCAGTTCAATGTCTTGACAGTGAAGGGAAAGAGTGGGCCCAGGCCTTCAGTGGCCCATAATTTTCTTAAGCCTGTAATAAAATTACAGATTAACTTTCTGTCCATATCTCATTCCTTTGATAGAAGACAGAGCTTTAGGTGAGTTGTGGAAGTAAACACAACTGTGGGGAGGTGAGAAACTGTCCTTTTATATCTGGCAGTTTGTTTTAGTCAGCTGCTTGATCTCTGTGTGCAGTGATACAAAAGATCTACTAAACTGTTTATAAGGCTTAGCAGTGTTGGATGAAAATATGTGTGAATCACAAGAAGATTCTGCATTTTTTGTTTAAGTTATAATTTGGGTGTCCTGTCTAATGCATTATACAGTTGACTGAAGTAAATTTTCTTGATAGAACATAGAACTTCCCAGGAAAAAGAGGAAATGCTGAGTTTAATTTTTGATTTTTTTTTTAAATGCCAGAAAACTCTGAAAAAATATCCTTTCAGCTTCATTTAGCTTTAACTTCGAATTCATCTTGGGTTCAGTGTCCCAGCCATTTGGAACTCATGAATCAATGTCGGCACATAAACATACGTGTGGACCCCAGGGGCTTAAGAGAAGGGTTACATTATACAGAGGTATTGTCACGTCTATTTTATTTTCTCTTTGAAATGTTTTAAGAGGTAAAAGTAAACAATCCCTGATGTATTATGTTTTTTTCTCTCATTAAAAAAAACTATATACCTTTTCACTTGCTAGATTTTCTAGCTTTTCTGTATCTACTTAAGCAGTAAGTTATACAGTGTTGCATCCTTCTGTGAAGAAGGCTAGGGGGAGATACAGATAGCAAAGCTTTTTTGATCAGGCCTCTGTACTTTGTTAATTATGCAATGTAGCTAAACTTGTGCTATGGTTAGCATTACTATTTAGAGGAAAGATTTGTTAAACCTGGCAGTTGTAAATAAACAAAGAATAGTATCGTATAACTAATCTTTCTACAAAAGTATTTGTAATACTAAGTTTTAGTTTGAGGTAGAGAATAATTAAGATGCTTCCTTTTTTAACTTGATACCTTATTACCTGTCCATCTCAGTCATGATTTGGTATGTGATTGTTAGGACTTTGGGTTATTATGTGAATTAGTGTCAGTAATCTAGTATTAACTTACCTGTTAGACCTTTAATTTTAAGATTAGATGATTCTATGCTTGCATTACACCTTCTACTTTCTGTTTTACAACTTTTTTTTTTCTTTCCTCAAGGTATGTGGCTATGATATAGCATCCCCCAATGCAGGTCCTCTATTCAGAGTTCCAATCACTGCAGTTATAGCAGCAAAGTACGTAAGATGTTTAGGTTATTATTATGTATAAATTGTTAATGCCTATATGTGATTCAGTATGGATTTTTGATGGATTGCCCAGAAGCAAGTAACTAGAAAGAGTAGGACAGAAGCAGGTAACTAGGTTCTGCTCCTAATGCTGTTTCTATTAATTATTAGTTGAGGGTACCTGGCATCTGCCCACCTTCTATTGAAATGTCTTTGCCCATAGTACCAGTGACTCCCAATTGAGAGACTGTTTCTGCCTTCATTTTACTTCTTTTCTCACTTCCTCAGTAGTGATTCTTTACCCTCTTCGTTTGCGCCCTGCTTTACCTTCCTTTGTATGTGATTATGCTCTCCTGATGCTTTTAAACACTTTCTATTTTCAGCCTTATTCTTTCCATTTTAAGCATCCTGGAATCGGGATTTTAACTTTGATAATATTGCTTCCAGCTTCAAACCCACCAGGAGCATTTCTTAAGGATCAGGTTTACATTCCTTAAAAAAGCCCACAAGAATAACTTAAAATTACAGTCCCAGGTGGCTTCCTACTACTGAGTATGCCAAAGTACATATTTTAACCATCTCCATCTCATGACACTCATGGTTTGCTCAGTATTTATTATGCATTTGTATTATTGGTTCCTTTACCTCATTTGCCTGTCTGCTAAATAGCCAGACTTATTTCTGGTTATTCTAGGTGAGGGGAGTTCCTTCGTTCTGTACTTCAGCACTTTTTACAAGCTCCTGGACATTCCTCAGCTAATCTATTCCCATTTGTTTTTTAATTTAATATGTATCATTTGATTGCAAGTCCTCTGAGGATGTAAGTTGTATTTACACATTCTAAATTAATACCTTTGGGGGATGGTATTTGAGTTGAATATTAATTATGTAATAGGCCTCAGCCAATGAGGTCTACAGGATAAAAATGATGAGATTAAATTATGGCATGCACATGGGAAAATTACATCACAGTTAAATTCTCCGTTACATGCTTTGTGTAAGTTCAGTGGGAATTTAGACAAGACTTTCAACAATCTGCAGGCTCACTCTTAGGATCTAACCATTCTTCGATTTTTCTCTAACAATTCCTTTCTGGAGCTTGCTATAGTAAATGTCTTTTCTCTCCCTATCAGTTTGTTATAGAGCAAAGAAAGGGTTATATCCTTTTTTTTTTTATTTGATATTATATTTACATTTCAGATGCTATCCCCTTACTCCATCCCATCCCCCCACACACACACATACACCCAGGAACCTCTATCTCATCCCCCCTCCTCCTGTTTCTATGAGGATGTGCCCCCACCTACCCCCACATTCCCACCTCCCCACCCTCGAATTCCCCTACACTCAGTGTCCTGCCTTCATGGGACCAAGGATCTCCTCTCCCACCTATGCCTGAAAAGGCCATCCTCCCCTACATATACAGCTGGAATCATGTGCTCCCAGGCTGGTGGTTAAGACCCTGGGAGCTCTGGTTGATTGGTATTGTTGCTCTCCTCATGGATTGGCAAACCCTTTCAGCTCCTTCAGTCTTCTCTCTAACTCCTCCATTGGGAACCCCTTGATCAGATCAATGGTTAGCTGTGAGCATCTACCTCTGAATATGTCCAACTCTGGCAGACCTCTAAGGAGACAGCTGTATCAGGTTCCTGTCAGCATGCACTTCCTGACATCCACATCAGTGTCTACCTTTGGTGACGGTACATGGGATGGATACCCAGGTGGAATAGTCTTCAGGCGGCCCCTCCTTCAGTTTCTGTCCCACACTTTGTCTCCATATTTGCTCCCTTGAGTATTTTGTTACTCCTAAGAAGGACCAAAGCACCCACACTTTGATCTTCCTTCATGAGCTTCATGTGGTCTGTGAAATGTATCTTTGGTATTGCGAGCTTCTGGGCTAATATCCACTTATCAGTGAGTGCATACCATGTGTGTGTTCTTTTGTGATTGGGTTACCTCACTCAGGATGATATTTTCTAGTTCCATCCATTTACCTAAGAATTTCTCAAATTCATTGCTTTTAATAGTTGAGTAATACTCCATTGTGTAAATGTACCACATTTTTTTTATCCATTCCTCTATTGAAGGACATCTGGGTTATTTCCAGCTTCTGGCTATTATAAATAAGGCTGCTATGAACATAGTGGTGCATATGTCTTTGTTATATGTTGGAGCATCTTCTGAGTATATGCCCAGGAGTGGTATAGCTAGGTCCTCAAGTACTGCTATGTCCAATTTCTGAGGAATCGCCACACTGATTTCCAAAGTGGTTGTACCAGCTTGCAATCCCACCAACAATGGAGGAGTGTTCCTCTTTCTCCACATCCTCGCCAGCATCTACTATCACCTGAGTTTTTGATCTTAGCCATTCTGACGGGTGTGAAGTGGAATCTCAGGGTTATTTTGATTTGCATTTCCCTGATGACTGAGGATGTTGAACATTTCTTAAGGTGCTTCCTGGCCATTTGAGTTTCCTCAGTTAAAAATTCTTTGTTTAGCTCTGTACCCCATTTTTTAATAGGTTTATTTGGTTGTCTGGAGTCTAATTTCTTGAGTTCTTTGTATATATTGGATATTATCCTTCTATCAGATGTAGGATTGGTAAAGATCTTTTCCCAATCTGTTGGTTACCATTTTGTCCTATTGACAGTGTCCTTTCCCTTACTGAAGCTTTGCAATTTTATGAGGTCCCATTTGTCAATTCTTTTTTTTTTAATTTATTTTTAAATCAAATCGTAATTTTTACTTGTTCACACGGGGGTTATAAACACAAAAAGGCAGGATGTGGGGAAGGAGATGACACCGGAGCATGAGTGTTCAGGGGGTTACAGCTATCTTTCAGAACAGGGTATCGGCTGGATGAATGCTCAGGAGACAGGTCACTATGACTCTGCCTATGATTCACTTGTCCTTATCTAAGTTGGTACTATTCTCCAAGGCTACCTATTTACAAGGTCTATGACTACTCAGGCTGGTAAATTTCCACAAAAGCTGCCTGGTTATAAGAGCTTATAGCCATCTGTTTCAATGTTTTTCCACAGAGACCCAAGACTTTGTGTTAGCATACATGTATGACAGGCCTCCATTTGTCAATTCTTGATCTTAGAACATAAGCCATTGATGTTCTGTTCAGGAACTTTTCCCCTGTGCCTAGGTATTCGAGGGTCTTCCCCACCTTCTCTCCTATTAGTTTCAGTGTATCTGGTTTTATGTGGAGGTCCTTTATCCACTTGGACTTGAGCTTTGTACAAGGGGATAAGAATGGAGAAGATTTGCATTCTTCTACATGCTGACCTCCAGTTGAACCAGCACCATTTGTTGAAAATGCTATCCTTTTCCCACTAGATGGCTTTAGCTCCTTTGTCAAAAATCAAGTGACCATAGGTGTGTGGGTTCATTTCTGGGTCTTCAATTCTATTCCATTGATCTACCTGCCTGTCTCTGTATCAATACCATGCAGTTTTTATCACTATTGCTCTGTAGTACAGTTAGAGGTCAATGATGATGATTCCCCCAGAAGTTCTTTTATTGTTGAGAATAGTTCTCGATATCCTGGGTTTTTTGTTATTCCAAATGTATTTGCAAATTGCTCTTTCTATCTCTATGAAGAATTGATTTAGAATTTTGATGGGGATTGCATTGAATCTGTAGATTGCTTTTGGCAAGATGGTCATTTTTACTAAATTAATCCTGCCAATCCATGAGCATGGGAGATCTTTCCATCTTCTGAGATCTTCTTCGATTTCTTTCTTCAGAGACTTGAAGTTCTTGTTATACAGATCTTTCATTTGCTTGGTTAGATTACATTGATGGATTTCCGAATATTGAACCATCCCTGCATTTCTGGGATAAAGCCTACTTGATCATGATGGATTATTGTTTTTATCTGTTCTTGGATTCAGTTTGCTAGAATTTTATTGAGTATTTTTGTATCGATGTTCATAAGGGAAATTGGTCTGAAGTTCTCTTTCTTTGTTGGGTCTTTGAGGTTTAGGTATGAGCATGATTGTAGCTTCAGAGAACGAATTGGGTAGTGTTTCTGATTTTATTGATTTGGATACTCTCTCTGTGCCCTCTGGTTAGTCTGGCTAAAGATTTATCTATCTTGTTGATTTTCTCAAAGAACCAGCTCATGATTTTGGTGATATTTTGCATAATTCTTTTTTGTTTTACTTAGTTGATATCAGCCCTGAGTTTGATTATTTCCTGCTGTCTACTCCTCTTGGGTGTATTTGTTTCTTTTTGTTCTAGAGCTTTCAGGTATCCTGTCAAGTTGTTAGTGTATGCTCTCTCCAGTTTCTCTTTGTCGGCACTTAGAGCTATGAGTTTTCCTCTTAGCACTGCTTTCATGGAGTCCCACAAGTTTTGGTATGATGTTTCTTCATTTTCATTGAATTCTAAAAAGTCTTTAATTTTTTTATTTCTTCCTTGACCAAGTCATCATTGAGTAGAGCGTTGTTCAGTTTCCAGGTACGTGTGGGTTTTCCATTGGTTTTGTCATTATGAAAGACCAGCCTTAGACCATGGTGATCTGATAGGACACATGGGATTATTTCAGTCTTTTTTTATCTGTTGAGGCCTGTTTTGTGACCAATTATATGGTCTATTTTGGAAAAGGTACCGTGAGGTGCTGACAAAAAGGTATATTGTTTTAGGATGAAATGTTCCATAGATATCAGTTAAATCCATTTGGTTCATAACTTCTGTTAGTTTCATTGTGTCTCTGTCTAGTTTCTGTTTCCATGATCTGTCCATTGCTGAGAGTGGGGTGTTGAAATCCCCCACTATTATTGTGTGAGGTGCAATGTGTGCTTTGAGCTTTAGTAAAGTTTCTTTTATGTATGTGGGTGCCCTTGCATTTGGAGCATAGATGTTCAGAATTGAGAGTTCATCTTGGTAGATTTTTCCTTTGATGAGTATAAAGTGTCCTTCCTTTTCTTTTTTGATTACTTTTGGTTGAAAATCAATTTTATTTGATATTAGAATGGCTACTCCAGCTTGTTTCTTGGGACCATTTGCTTGGAAAATTGTTTTCCATCCTTTTACTCTGAGGTAGTGTTTGTCTTTTTCACTGAGGTGTGTTTCCTGTATGCAGCCAAATTCTGGGTCCTGTTTATGTATCCAGAATGATAGTCCATGTCTTTTTGTTGGAAAATTGAGTCCATTGATATTAAGAGATATTAATGAAAGATGATTGTTGCTTCCTGTTATTTTTGTTGTTATATGTGGAATTATATTTGTGCAACTTTATTCTTTTGGGGTTGTTGGAAGATTACTTCCTTGATTTTTCTAGGTTGTAGTTTCCCTCCTTGTGTTGGAGTTTTCCACCAATTATCCTTTGAAGTGCTGGATTTGTGGGAAGATATTGTGTAAATTTGTCATGGAATATCTTGGTTTCTCCATCAGTAGTAATTGCTGGGTATAGTAAGTCTGGCCGGGCGTTTGTGTTCTCTTACGGTCTGTAAGATATCAGTCCATGATCTTCTGGCTTTTATAGTCTCTGGTGAGAAGTCTGGTATAATTCTTACAGTTTTGACTTTATATGTTACTCGACCTTTTTCCCTTTCTGCTTTTAGTATTCTTTCTTTGTTTTGTGCATTTGGTGTTTTGATTATTATGTGATGGGAGGTATTTCTTTTCTGGTCTAGTCTATTTGGAGTTCTGTAGGCTTCTTTATATTCATGGACATCTCGTTCTCTAGGGAAGTTTTCCTCAATAATTTTGTTTAAGATATTTACTGGCCCTTTAAGTTGGGAATCTTCACCCTCATTTATACCTATTATCCTAAGGTTTGGTCTTCTCATTGTGTCCTGGATTTGCTGCATGGTTTGGGTTAGGAGATTTGCGTTTTGCATTTTCTTGGACAGTTGTGTCAATTTTTTCCATGATATCTTCTGCACATGAGATTCTCTCTTCTATCTCTTTGTATTCTTTTGGTGATGTTTGCATCTATGACTCTTGATCTCTTTCCTAGGTTTTCTATCTCCAGGATAGTCTCCCTTTGAGATTTCTTTATTGTTTCTACTTCCATTTTTAGATCCTGGATGGTTTTGTTTAATTCCTTCACCTATTTGGTTGTGTTTTCTTGCAATTCTTTAAAGGATTTTTGTGTTTCCTCTTTAAGGGCTTCTACCTGTGTTCTCCTGTACTTCTTTAAGGTAGTTATTTATGTTCTTCTTAAAGTCCACTATCATCATCATGAGAAGTGATTTTAATTCTGAATCCTGCTTTTGTGGTGTGATGGGATGTCCAGGGCTTGCTATTGTGGGAGAACTGGGTTCTGGTGATACCAAGTAACTTTGGTTTCCTTTGCTTATGTTCTTGCACTTGCCTTTTGCCATCTGGTTATCTCTAGAGCTACCTGCACTCACTGTGTCAGACTGGAGCCTGTCTTTCCAGTTATCTTGCTGGTTTCAGAACTCCTCAGGGTCCAGATGTTTCTGTGATCCTGTAATCCTGTGATTCTGAGCAGTGGCTCCTCTAGGATGTCTAAGGTATGGTGTCTCCACGGGGGCAGACCAGTTAGGTGTCTGTCCCAGCCACAAGGCAAAAGAGTTATATTTTACTCACTGGAATATTTCTAGGTACAAATAACAGTACCGCATTGATAGTAGGTACTCATTTCTTTTTTGTAAAATTAAAGAGTATGTAATTGCAACCTGCATTTTATTTCCATAGCACATAGTTACCCATTTGATGTTTACATTTCTTTGATTGCTTGTGGAAGTAGTTTGTCTTTGGAGCATTTTGAAACTGCATGTCAGGACTTAATTTATTTTGTTTTACTCATACATCTGTAAGACTGTTACTGACACAAAATATAATTCTATTTTAACATTCAAAAATCATAGCTGGATTTAGCGGTGCACACCTTTAATCCCAGCACTTGGGGTGCAGAGGTAGGCAGATCTCCTGTGAATTTGAGACCAGCCTGGTTTATTAAGGGAGTCCCAAGACAGCTAGGAGGTACACAGAGAAACCCTGGATCAGCATATTTTTATTGTTTAGAAATCAGAGTTGAGAGTCTGTGAATTTTGTAAAATTCCTTTAAACAGAACAGAAGACAAGCATAATCTTTTTACTGTTTCTGTTACAAGGTATAAAAATAGGTGAGTAGATCATCTGTGTGCTGCTGTCAGAGGTTATATCTACTGCTGTGTTACAAAATGAGGTAGTACTGTGCTTACAGTTGATTACCAACTTACCGCAAGTTTCAGGGTTTATTTCTAGCAAACTGTTCTCCTACATCTGTTGGATAACATCTAGAGTATTGATGAATTTATTGTTATAATATATAGTTTTTAGAGTATCAAGGGTTTTTTTTTTTTAATTTTCAGAGTAAATGAGTCATCACATTATGATCTAGCCTTTACAGATGTACATTTTAAACCTGGTCAGATTCGAAGACATTTTGTTGAGGTTCCTGAGGGGGCAACCTGGGCTGGTAAGTAAAATTTGTCTCTGAAGTTTTTGTTTTTTAAATCTATTAGAGAATTTGTAAACTGTTGGTGATGTGCTATTGCTGTTTTGATTTCTTGCTTAGAGTTCTTAGGAGTTACTCTTTGTATATTCTATGTCTATGCTAGGCCCTTAGGAGGACTGCTTCTAGAGAGGGCTTTTCTATAGAATACCTTACCAGAACTCTGACTGACTTGTTGAGAAAGAGGTAGAATGAAGTTGTGGGAAGACACCGCTTTGGGGAATGAATCTGGGCTTAGGTGTAGGCTACTATTTAACTTGGAACACCTTGTTTTACATAGCTGAGTTTCTATCTTAACTGACACTACTTACTCTTTTCTGTAAGAATAGACAGTTATAAAATGTTTCATCTATGCTAAGGTAATCTTCATACTCTTTAACAGTTTGGTGTACTCACCTTTTAATTGTTCAGTGTATTCAGTGACCAAAAGCTATTTACAGCTATAATTGTGAGTTGTCATTGTAGGCTATTTTATAGTCATGTTGTGGAATTCGCTGTACTGCAGTATTTACGTAGGGCCTCTTGGGGTTGTGTAGCCCAGGGCTCTGATAAAATTCATTAATAGTAATACTATACAATAAAACTCTTACAGAAATTACTCATTTCTGCCCAGCCCTTTTAGTTTACTCAGAGTCTGTTTTCTTTAATTAAGAAAAAGAAAGACACTTTGTTGATAAGTCAGTAAATATAATTTTCTTATGATATATAGTTGTGGAAAACATGTAGAGTTTGAGACGGTGGTTATTGCTATAAAGCATTGAATGGTATAGAATGAAAATGTTGCCATGTCATTTCACAGTGTTAGATTACAAATGTTCTATTTCAAACCATTCAAAATATTGTCAAAGCATCATATATGTACTTGTAGCAATTAGTTAATTTCCCCTCTGTCCCCTGGTCTGTAAGAACCAAAATGAACTGAACCTTATTTTGGTGCCCTTAAATTAGAGCAAATGTTCCTAATAATCTTGTCTCTTCATGATTTTGGTTTACCTCTGGCCATGCAGTACAGTAAAGCTAATAAGCAGGTGTGCTTCTAATAGTGATACTTTGGGGTAAGAAATAGAAATACATACAAGAGTAAGCTAGGATGAAAACTTAGCCATGATAATTTGGAGTTTCTAAAATTATAATCATTTTATTGGGAATTAATTTTCTTTCCAATTAAAACAAGAGAAAGGAGAGTGGTTTTCAATGTCCTGATTATAAGTGTGTATAGATTTAGAAACAGTTTTGTTCTTTCCTAATGTCTGTAATAAGGATTGTTGCTTGCTTAAAAATGATTTATTTCTTAAAGAATATCATCTATACACATACTTTGTTCTTTGTTTCACAAAGCTTACAGCTTTCCTTTGAAAATAACAGTTTAGAGATTGGAGAGAAGAATGGTGAAGAGCACTTGCTCTTCCAGAGAGATTTGATTCCCAGAACCCACACAGGCTCCCAACTGTTTATAGCTCCAGTTCCCAAGTATCCAATGAGCTCTTTATCAGGCACCAGATATGCACGTGTTGTAGACACACATGAATACAAACACTCATGTGTAAAATATAAATACATCTAAACCATAATAAAATATTATTATATTTTATTGTTACTTAAACAGATGAAATTTTAATAATTTAATAATAATAACTAACCATTTTATGAGCATTTTAATTCTTGTCCACTTAAAATTTAATTTCTTTATTTTAGAAGTTACTGTGTGTTCATGTTCTTCTGAGGTATCAGCAAAATTTGTTCTTCATGCAGTACAGCTTGTGAAGCAAAGAGCGTATCGAAGTCATGAATTTTATAAGTTTTGTTCCCTTCCAGAAAAGGGAACACTGATTGAAGCCTTTCCTGTTCTGGTAAGTTTATCCAACAGGAAAATCCAGAACACTCCCAAGACATTATAGGTTGTACATAGACCATGTTAAGAGATTCGGATTCTATTCATGCCTGTCAGATAAGGTAGGATGATTGGTAATTTAATGAAAAGTACTGAAATCCAGCGCTTGAGAGAAGACTTGGGGCTTAAGATTACTTGCTGCCTTTGTAGAAGAGTCTGCTTCAGCTCACAATACCCACTGGGCAGCTTACAACCATCTGTAACTCCAGTTCCAAGGGATCCTATGCCCTTTCTGATCTTCTCATGCACTGGGAAAGGACCCAATGCAAGCAAAACATTTGTATCCGTAAAACAAAAATAAATCAATCTTTTAAAAAAAAGTACTGAAAACCAAACCAGTTATCATAGTACTTAACTTTATTCCTAGCAATCGAGAGGCAGGAGAATTAGGAAGATCTCCAAGACCAGCTTGATTTACATAGTGGGAATCTATGCTAATAAATAAAATTTAAGCTGTGTTTCAGAAGTGAATTTTCCTCCTCTATTCTCCCTTTCTTAAAGTGCTATGGTAGAACTCAGGGTCTGTGCATCTAAGGCAAGTAGATGAATTGTACCCCAACCAGTATTCATATCTCTTTAATGCTGATACTTCTGTCAAATAAAAGTTCTAATCTTGGGTCTTCATTTACATTGGCACTTGTTATCTTACTTAAAGTTCTATTGTTAAGAATCTATAAAGTAGTTTAATTTGCAGACAAAATTGTTGTCAGGTCTCTCTTTTTACCCATGTTTATAATGGTTAGTCTTTCCTTTATGGAAGGTGAATATGCTGCTGTGCTTGCCATGCTTGCTCCTTTGGGTTTTCATTTCCTTCGATGACATCATTATGTCTCTTATGTCTCTGTTACTTTGAAATGGGGTGACGTTAGCTTTATTCATCTCCTTAAATGTACTGGTACAACAGGGCTTAGTTTACTCTTTTAAAATTGATACTTAAGTTGCTAGGTGGCTCTGAAACCAAAATTTATTCATGCCTATTGAATATGCTGTATAAATTTTGTAATATTTCCTCTCATTATGAATCTTAATTATGTTTAAATTGGTACTAGGGTTTTTTATTATTAATGTACTATGTGCATAAATAAATAAATATAAGTAGATAATGATAAAATATTTTGCTTCTTGTTACAAATAAAAGTTTTGTTTTGAAACAGGTAATATTTTGTGATATGAGGAAGAATTAGAAAACACATTCATTCTTTAACATTTTTATTTTTATTTCCAGGGTGGGAAAGCAATTGAATTTTGTATTGCTCGTTGGTGGGCAAGTCTCAGTGATGTCAATATTGATTATACCATATCATTCCACGGGATAGTGTGTACTGCACCACAGTTAAACATTGTAAGTACTATAACATTCTCATTATTTTCAGTATCATTTTTGTTATGAAAAATAACTTCTGTGGTAGATGTAAAACTTAATTAGAAACTAATCTATAAATCTGAATATATTCATTCACGAGTATTAAAACTTGCATTAATGAACGTATATATAAAATATTGTCTATTAATGTCTGAGAAATTAATTTTTAAATATGTTTTATAGCATGCATCTGAAGGAATCAATCGTTTTGATGTTCAGTCCTCTTTAAAGTATGAAGATCTGGCTCCTTGCATAACTTTGAAGAGCTGGGTGCAAACACTACGGTATCTCATTGTTTTAAGAGCTATGAAAATTGAATGTTAATGGAAGAATTTTTTATTGCTTTTTATTCGTTTTTCAAATTTTCATCTATGTGATGCTAGCATCAAAAAAAGAAAAAATTGCAGTCTAAGAATCCTTTTGAGTTTCCAAAATGTGGCTCAGCGTTGCTTTCTGCCCTCACTGATCTTATCGTCAGTAGTGTCTCTATATATTGGCCATTTCATTTCTTGACAAAACAAATGAGCAGTTGAGATTGAGACAGGAGAAAAGCAAATTCAAGGCTACCTGGATAACTCAAAAAGTTGAGAAAAAGGATTAAGGAACTGCTTAGCAATAATATTTGCTTTCCATGTGTAAGACCCTCAATTAATCTCACGTATTACAACAAAACAAATTAACAATGTCATGTTTTTATTTTGTGAATGCATTGTTCATTGTTTGAAAAATTCAGCACCAGAAAATCTCATTGACAGTAAAAGAAATTTGTCCTGAGTGTATGTCATAAACTCACTGTGGAAGCAGGATTTTCCAACGTTGGTGTTCTGTTGCTGATACCTTGGCAGTGTCATTGCCTTAGGACAAGGAGTACCTATTCTCTTGGCATATGATATGGCCCAGCCATGCCTGTGCTCAGTACCAGCACGTGTGAGTGAGTGCACACATCCAAAATGTCCTTTAACTCTTACTGGTAATCATCATCCAAGTGTTGGGATTTGCCTCTGCCAAGAGCTCTGTGGTAACATTTTTAAGTGCTTTTGATCATGAACTTCTGTTCATGTCTTTGTAGTATTGCAGTAATTTAGTCAATATGGACTATATATTAATATTTGAAAGATTGTACAGTTTATTATGAAAGACAGTTTAAGGAGTGCTCCTCACCTGCCATGTTTAACTGCTTTCTTTAAATGAGGACTTGATTTAATTCAGTGATGCAGTTGCCTTGTTACAGCCCAGTAAATGCAAAAACCAGACCTTTAGGATCAAGGGATGTTTTGCCAAATAATCGCCAGCTTTATGAAATGGTCCTGACTTACAGCTTTCATCAGGTATGTGTTTCCTAGTAAAAGATACCTGTATAGTAAATTCTCATTTTATGTACTGTGAAATCACAGATGGAAAGACGTGGCTTGTCTTTGAGACCTAGTTTTTATTCATAATTTATTGAGGGTTTTGTTGTTGTTGTTGTTGTTGTTGTTGTTGTTGTTGTTAGAACAGGTAACAGATAGAAAAACATAAAGGAAAGAGTTGTTACTCGGCCACATTGTTTCAGAGGGTACTCACTGGGCTTGTAGTCCGGCAGTACACTGTACCAGAACCCACCAGCATAAGTTGGAAAATCTCTGAGGATGGAGCAGGGATTAAAGATAGGAAAGGCAGAAAGAGACAAGAGGTGGAATTGGGAGGACTGCTGGTCAGTACCACAGCTGCAGCAGTAAGACATCTGTTCCCATCCAGATGCCTTCCTGTTCCTTCCACTAAGGTCAATAGAATCTTCAGCCCCTCACCTTGAACCTCAAGTGTACTTCCTCTTATCATTCTATGCCTACTTTATTGAAGCATAATGTGAATTTAGTTTTAATGTTACATATGAGTAGATTTCAATAAATTGTTAGATTCTAATTTTATAAAGAAATAAGAGACTGTGTTAGAGCTATATATATTTGTTAGAAATATATGTGTGTGTGTAGGAAGAGCACTAGGTTTGTAGATTTTAAAGTTTCCAAAAGTGCATCTATTTAATGCCAAGGTAGTAACTATTGGATACTTTTTTGAGACAGTGTTATTGATATTATATATAAATCATATCAATAATTGTTTTTTTTTGTTTTTTTGATAGCCCAAGAGCGGAGAAGTAACACCTAGTTGTCCACTCCTTTGTGAATTGTTATATGAGTCAGAATTTGACAGTCAGTTGTGGATTATTTTTGACCAGAACAAAAGACAGATGGGCTCAGGTGATGCCTATCCACATCAGGTATAAATTATAAAAAGTAATAAATCCCAAATTTCTTATTAAGGTATAATACTTAAAGGTTTTTTTTTAATACCATAAAAAGTTACATTCAATTTTTTGACACCTATAGAAATCTCATTTGCTTATTGTAGTTATTAAGCAACTTGACAGCTTTTCTGCCACATACTAGAAGATGTTGCTTTCAAATACCAGCCAGCAGAGCAATTTTAGTTGAGAAGGGACTACAGCCAGGACTTTGCACATGCTCAGCATGTTCTTGTCCACTAGATTAGACCTCTAGTCCTAGTATATCTGTTTGTTGCAGATATACTACACACTGGTTATACTTACTTAAATATAGACAGTGAATGAGAGACTGTAAAGTGACCCTAGGTCTGAGTGGAACACTGGGGTTAATAAGACCTGGTGGTTTTAGTTTATTCCTTCAGATCTGGAATTGTACTGAGCATTGAACTGTATGCTATGCACTTTTTTTTTTCCACAGACACTAAAGGAAAAGAAAATCACTTGACATATAACTACTTTAAAATTTTGTCTCTGGTTGAAATTGCATTAGAAGAAATAGATATTTTTCCTGAAATGCTCATGATTTTTTGCTTAATAATAAAATAATTAAATAATTAAATAATAAAAATTTTATATGGAAGCTTTTGCATTTTAGGAATGATCTTAGTTTTCCCCTGTTAAGCAAGAAGCAGTCTCATCTCTGTAGTCAGGAATGTCACTTGAGTTACATCTCACATTGCCTCAGAAGACACTGCTTCTGCAGAATACTGACAGCATCTCTATTCCATGAGCGTGTTATGTTTGCAAGGTGGGATGCAGTAGCTTTACATTTCTTAATCTCTACTGGCTCCTTGTTTTCCCTGCTTGTCATAAAGGGATGTCACACTTCACAGTTAAAATGTAAAGTTTAACAGAAGCCATACATGTGCATACACATGAATGAATGTTTTAGATAATATACAAATTTAATTTTGACTTTTTGACTACTACTTCATGTTTTTTATGACCCGTAAACAAAAATATGCTTGATTCTTAGTTATGTATAAACATTGATTGTGTGGATGTGTCGATATGCTGTGGTGCAAAGAGTGAGGACATGGGGTCAGGCCTTACTTGAGTTCGTGTATGACACTGACAGGCGAGCCACTTGATACTGAAATTCTCCCTGCTCACTAGCACCCTAGATACCACTGTGTATAGATGTCTCATACCTTGTACATTCTGTAAATGGAATCTTTTATCCTTTTACTCTCATTTTACTGAACTAAACTTTTTTTTTTTTTTTTTTAGTATTCTTTGAAACTGGAGAAAGGAGATTATACAATTCGATTACAGATTCGTCACGAGCAAATCAGTGATTTGGATCGTCTCAAAGATCTTCCGTTTATTGTTTCACATAGGTTGTCTAATACCTTGAGCTTAGATATTCATGAAAATCATAGCCTTGCACTTCTAGGAAAGAAGAAATCAAGCAGTTTAACATTACCACCCAAATATAATCAGCCATTCTTTGTTACTTCCTTACCTGATGATAAGTAAGTGTTGATGTTGATGATACTGAATGACATTATAGTTCATATGTTAATCTAGATTTATAATTTGCTATCATTTTAGTCTGAAGTTATTTCTCAGTTTGATTTTTGAAAATTTGGACATGGGAAATATTTCAGTTTGGAATTATTTTGATGGTTTTCCTCTAAGTATTTTTGTGAAACTTTTTCTTTTGTTACTTTTTCCCTTTTTAATTCTCTCATTAGAATACCTAAGGGGGCAGGACCCGGATGCTACCTTGCAGGCTCCTTGACATTGTCAAAGACTGAGCTTGGAAAGAAAGCTGTAAGTACTAGTGTTTTACACTGAAAGTACATGTTTAAAATTTCCTATCCCTTTGAAGATGGGCTTTAAGTCCATGGTTCAGAATTGGTGAAAGAATACTTGCAAGGAGGGAACAGTAATTGTTTTTCTTTTTCTTGAGCTGTTAGTGAAGGTGGATTCATATTTGGTACCTTTTAAAATGTGTCATTTAAAAATATTTTATGTTCTTTTCCACAAGCCTCATGCCCTAAACCTATCCCACCTCAGTTCCTATAGTTCTTGACATCCAGGTCATAATTGGTTGAAGCAAATGGGATATGTAAAATAATAGCATGCCCTAGAATTTCAGCCAACATATTGTAGATATTGTAATAAGTCAAATCTCTTCATTTGTTTATAAAAACCAATCTGAAGAATTTTTATTAATGGATATTGGCTCTCACACTTGTGAAGGCTTGTTGAGGTCTTGTATAATTATGTGGATAAATGTACAGTGCTTCTTGTGGTATTGCTTTTTATAATTTCAAAATGATGCTTTTTGTTTCTAGTTTAAAGATAACTGTTATTAGAAACTTAAAGGTATTTATTTCAGGTTTTTCCATCTTGTTTTTATTACAGATTTGTTGCAGAAAATTTTTTTTATGTGGATCTGTCACCCTTAATCATAGTTCATTTTGGTGTAATACAAGTCTTACATCTGTGCATTTCTCATTTAGCATTAGTTCATACAAAACTATTTAAGTCTACTTAACCTAATCCTGGGGTCTATAAATGCTTTTGTCAGAGTGAACTCATCTCGTTTATCTTGAAATGTATTTTTCTTGTCACTGTTCAACCAAGGTCATATATTCATAGCCACTGAGGAATAATTTGGGGATTTTGTGCTTAGAAAATGTTTACCTTGACATCTCTCAGGGTGCATTTCAGTGTGTACTCTTACTCATACATACTTCAGTGTCATTTGAAGTAAATCAGCACTTGATACTGGACTTTGTTCTTGAACTGATTTAAGAAATCCTCATAGATCTTTTTGTAGATTTACCTAGATATCTGCTTCTACGGGACTTCAACTGAGTTTTTCACCCAGATGATAGATAATTCATCTCAGAAGTCCACTTCTCATGGAAAGTATAGCAGAAAAGAATTATTGGCAGAAATATTCTTATAAGGATTCAGAAATAGTACTTCCTGACAATACTATCAGAGGCAAGATTGAAATTATAAGTGCTTGGAATTGATTGTTGCTAGCTGACTATAGATAGAAAGGTTGCTTATAAGAAAATAGCAATAATCTAAAATTATTGAGTATAATTGCCATTGGGTCCTTTATTTAAACTTTTCTCAGCAGTTTTATTCTTCCTACATTTTGGTAGTTGGAAAGGAAATGCCATTTTACTTCACTTTGCTTTCATTGTAGCCCTGAATGTTACTTTAGTTTTTTATTTTTTGTTTGCTTTTTGTTTGGTTGTTGGTTTTTTGGTTTTTTTTTTAAAGAGCGACTTAGGCTTGTGTGATGGTTGTGACCTCCTATATACAATCAGACTCTGCAGACTGTCAGCTAAATTTCAGTGTTTTTTTTTTTTAAATGTTTTAATGATAATGGAATTTAATCACTATTTTAAATAAAATGCTAGAAAGAACTTTGCCTTAAAATGGCATATTTGATTACATTTTTATTTTTAAAAATCGGCATGGCAGTGCTGCTTTCTTTAAAAGCATGCCATTTTGGTCACAGATCTGACCCTTCTGAGTACTGTGACACATACAGATGGTATGTTAAATTGAAAGAAAGTTAGGCAGAGGTGGTATCTCCATCCTGTGTAGATTATGCATGTTTTCTTACAGAATGTCGTTCTAACTCCCAGGGGCAGTCTGCAGCAAAACGACAAGGAAAATTTAAAAAGGTACTGATTGTCAGTTCTTAAAAACGATGTCTTAAAGCCTTATTTACATAGTTATTAAACTTTTTTCTCTCACTATTATAAATCTTTATTTTTAAAGAATCTCTCCCTTAGTTTCCTTTCTTTACATTCTGCAGTATAGTTCTCTTCGTTAATACTACAAGCAGTAGCGACATATTGCCATATATGGCTTTTTAAGCCATAACCCTATGGTTTATTTTCCATATTTATAGAATATGGAAACCATATTTATTAAACCATATTTTCCTATGGTATGGATGATTTTTATTGCTTCTCATTTATTGGTATGGATAAGATGTCAAGTTGAAAAGTTTGAAATTTTGTACATCCAAAGTCATAAAAGAGATGAACGCAATGGAGAGCAAAGTTATTATTTTTAATGATTTAATCTAGGACTGGCAAGATGGGTCAATAGGTAAAGGGACCTGCTGACAAGTCTAACAGCCTGAGTCTGATCTCCAGGACTCATATGATGGAAAGAGAGTTGTAGTCTGACCTCTATATGTGTACCATGGCACTCACCTACACACACACACACACACACACACACACTAAATAAGTAAATAAAAATTTAAAATGTAAGAAAAATGTAAAAAAAAACCTATTATAATCTGAAAGTCATTTTAAATAAAATGATTTTGTTAATAAGCTTGTCTCTGCTCTTGCATCTATCCTAGTTATAGGACAGATTAAAAAAATAGCGAATAAGAACTTCTAACTAAATGTTGAGTCTGTAATAAAAATACAGACAGATTTGATGCTATGAGTAGTTGAGTCTACTTGGTTTCTGTTAGCATATGAGAATCTGTATTGACTGCTTGACTCACACTTAACTTATATATCTATTCTGAGAACAGAGAAATGGATGTATTTGAAGAAGGGCCATTCAGTGGTCTATTTATCCAAGAAGTGTTGTAATGGAAGAAACAGTTATGTTTTATAGTATTGAAAGGTCGTCCAGAATGGTCTTGTTGTGTATTGATGAGCTCTGTTACACCATGAAGAATCTTCTGGTTATGAAGACCAGTATTTCTCAGGTGCTGATTTGACCCATTTGGGCACAATCTTAATCCATTTAATAGATCACAACTGAGCACTTAAAAAAATCTTATTTATGAGTTGCCAAGAGGACAGTTTGAAAAGGTTTGCCAGGGACTCAGCTGTAAAAAGAAGCATATTTCAATAAGGGTTTAGGCATTGCTTTTCTTCCACTTGTAGTTTTTAGTTGGCCTACAAAGTTTTGTTGGGCTAAGGTTGTACAAGGTATAATAGATAGTACTGAAGCGTGAGATGATTATTACTGGAATCTGAATAAAACTTGTGTAACAAACTTGGGAACTAGAATTACTTGTGTTCATCCCTTCCTATCAGTACAAGTACATGGCATAGTACAGCTCTTTTATAAAAAACAAATATAAAGTTACAAAAGAGAATTACTTACACATATAAAATAATTTAGATACTTTTAATAAACCATAAAAGGCACCAGTGATATTAATCTTTAAAATACTTGAGATTTTATAAAGCTTTTACTTCGATATCTAAATTAATAATTGAAGTACTCAAGAGACTTAACTTTTTGAACCAGATCTAAGTAATGTCGTGTTATGCTGTCCACTGGGCAGTTACTGGTTTTACAAGAAAACATTGTTTCTGAAAAATATTCCTGAGTTTGAACATTATTGAAATACTTTATGGATAGCTTACAGAGATTTATTTTTTTCAATTTTAATACTAAGTTTCTTACATTGAGAACTCTACAGCTTTTCTACTGTTATTATTCTTGATACCTTCTTTTTAAAACATCATTCATGATTTAAGGTCCAAAATCATTACTCTTAAATTAACTATATATTTGTCCCTTAAGTGAGTTGAAAAAAAGAATGTTTATTAAAGAAAGGGTGTGATCATGGTGACACAATCTAAAACAACTCGAATTTTCTTTTTGATTAGGGTTTATAAATACTGCATTTATAATTTTAGTGATAAAAAATTCTTATAAAATATTTTTATAAGGTTTTATTAATATTTTAATTGTACTTGTTATTGATTTTTTCTAAGATAAACTTTTATACTCACTTTTAATGGTAGTTCAATCTATAATAGGATTTTACATTTTCATGGGTGTTACTTTTTTATCATACATTAACATATTACTCATATTAAATTCTATTTTCTATTTTCCATACTAAAACAGTAATAAAACATGCCTTATCTTTGAAATTCAGAGGAGAAATTGCCTTCCAAAACATAGATTTCTCTATGTGGAAGTGTTTTCCATTTTCTAGCCTGTTAAATGAATAGGGACTGTCAGGCAAGTGGTGATTTAGAGTCTATGTAACGTGCTATGTGAAGAACTTGATTCCAACGGTGATAAAATCATATTTGCAGTAAATATTGGAGACTCCTTGTATCCTTACAGTTGTGTGTAAGCACATGACAGTGAAGCTGCTTTCTTGAGAATTCGATACTATAGGGTCAGGTTTTTCAAATACCTTTTTGCTTTGTCTGGGGCAATACCCACTCTGGAAAGTAATCTGCAGACAACAGTGGAGAAGACAAAAAGCTGAGCATGGTGGGGCATGCCCATAATTCCAGCACTGTTAGAGTTGGGGAGGAAGGATTCCGAGACAAAATCATGAATTTACAGTCATTGTCGCTTCTATTGCAAGAGCCAGTCTCAGGAATGAAATCAGTGGTGGTGTTGAGGAAAGAAGGATGGCTAGGTAGCAGGGTCCTAAAGAAGCAAGCCCAACAGTACACCTGTTTCTTTTTCTAGTCTTGGACCTTGTGTGAGCTTTTGTTCTTGGGCTCTGGCTCCCTTACATCAGAGAATATAACAGTGGGCTACAGATAAATTTCTAGGGCTTTCTCATTTCTGTTTTCTGCTTTTTAAATGGGTCATGAAGAGATGGTGGTGGTTAGTTTGTAGTGAAGTGACAGTAGAGCTACAGTAGTCATTCCTCATATAGCCTTGCATCACTTTATACCACAGAATTGAGTATCAGATATTGTTAAAATAAATGTGTTGTTTACACATAAAAGTCCTATTTGGGGGTCTCATGTTTTTCTGAAATAATATCAAAAGGGTAGTGTATGTCCCTTTGGTAATATAAGTTTGTTTTATTGTTAGAAACTTCACTATATAAACCTGAAAATAGAATTTGAAAAGCTGACTTAAATAATTACTTAATTAGAGACAATCAGTTTGTTGCCAAAAATTAAGTCTAAGCATTGGTTAATCTTTCCCAAGCAATGTATGTCTATAGGAAAGATTTATAAACCATAGACAAAGTAATCAGCTACCTTTTTCTGCCATCTTCAAAGCAGAACTTTCTCAAAGAGTTGTAGGCTTATTTCCCTGTTCTCTGTATCCTTGATTTTTGTCTCAGGACAGTACTCTTGCCAAGGTGATTAGCAGACTCCTTGGAGCCAAGTCTCTTCTCCATTTTCACCATCTTCCATCTGGTTTAACATTGATCACTCCATTCTTTTGTTTGTTTGAAACTCATTTATTCTTGTGAGGAATGGAGGAGATAAAGAGAGGAAAGGAAGGAAGGACAGACAGATGGACAGATATCTAACAGCAGTCAGTTTTCTCCTTAGAGAAAAGACCAGGTCTTATTAGCTAAGACCAGGAATCAAATTCAGGTTATCATGCTCAGCAGCAAGCACTTTTACTATCTCGGCCATCTTGCCGTCCCTACCACCTCTTTCTGCATGGATATCCTCGAGGCTTTCAAAACCCCAAATTCCTTTTGGTTTGTCCCTCTCTTAGAAGATCTTTGGGCCAAGCAATAATACTAGGTCTACTCTCTTCTGTTCTCTTATCTCTCTTAGTCTTATTCATGTCATGACTCTAAGTACTATTGATAAACATTCTTAGCTCTGCCTTCAAAGAATATCTGTTCATTTTCTTTTGTTTCCACAATGTATTATTTAGTTCCACACAATGTACAGATCACTAGGCTTGTTTGCTGGTTTGTTTTCCTACCTCTGCTTTTCTCTTCCATAGTCTTTTCTCAAGACTTATGTCATTAAGAGTTATAAATCGTAAGCCCAATTTTTAACATATATATATAAAGTCAAATCATTAAAAAGCAAAGTCTTTAATCATTGCTTTGCATAAAATATTTGATAGGCTTCTTTATATATTTAAAATAGCATCTACATTTTTAACCATGTCCCAACAAACTCTCCATGATAGTGGGCTATAGCCCACTTTCTTGGTTTATATAACTTTTCATATACTGGGTTCAGGTCTTTGTACTTGTTCCATTTCCACTCCTAGGCTAACTCTTGGGGGAAGGACTTTTCCACTCTTCAGTTAGGTTATTCAAATTTATTTATGTCTTCATTTAGCTTCACTAACCTTTCCATAACCACTTTGTTTGCTTGGTTGTCCTAACTTACCCAACGGTCATTGTGTGTCCTTTATTGATTCATCTTTGTGTGTCATATGTCACTATCAGAAATTATTTACTTGTGTGTTTATTGTCTGACTAACTCTAGGTAGAACACATAAGTGCTGGAACAGTACTTGTCTACTCTACCCTCTTACTAAGAGACCAAAAAAAAAAAAAATCTTTAAGTTTTAACTTGTTTTCTTCTGTTCAGCTTTAATTGTGAAACTACAAAGTACACTGTCCTTAAGGTGTCAAGTATAACTAAGAATTCGAAAGACACTCATAGAGAAAAAGACTTACCTCTTTTATTTTATCGGAATGGATAAAAACTTTAGTGTTTTTAAAGTTTAGGGGGAAAATTCCAATAATTGCAGATTGGTATTTTTTTATGTTTTTGACCATTCAGATGTGGAATACAATATAATACAACTCAGGCAGGCACAACCCATATTACAAGACTCTCAGCTTTTGACAATGATTTTAAAGTGTGTGAAATTAAGTGTATTAACCTAAGGCTTTCTTTAACCTTCCTAGGATGTGATCCCTGTTCATTACTATCTCATACCTCCACCAACAAAGACTAAGAATGGCAGCAAAGATAAAGAAAAGGATTCAGAAAAAGAGAAAGATTTGAAAGAAGAGTTTACTGAAGCATTACGAGATCTTAAAATTCAGTGGATGACCAAGTAGGTCATTTTAGTGGATTCCAGTCCTCTTGAGTTTTTCTCAACTAATACATTTGTATGTATGTATGTATGTATGTATGTATGCATGCATGCATGTATGTGAATATAAATATATATGTATGTATAGACTTTTAAAACTTTCCCTCTGTTTATACTTTGTATAAACATATACAATTTTGACAAAAAATATGTAAAATTTTTAATTTGCTTCAGAGGAGAATTTTATTGAAGGGTATAAAAAAGAAAAAAAATAACTTTTTTTTTTTTTCTTTAAAAATAAAATGACCATTGCTTTTACTATTAGTAGTTATGTACCCTACTTTTCCAGTTAATTTTTGTGTTAGGTACTTCCTGTGTCACTTAATAATGTAGAATTTTATTTTTAGTGACTATATATTTGTTATTTTATGAGTACAGTATAATCTATTTAGTAACTTATTTAGAATATGTTTATAGCTTTTCTCTGTAGTGTTGTAATGACTCTTTTTTTGTACATACAGTTTTAACTTTGTTTTCTTATCTGTTTGGTTTTAGTTGTTTGAGACAGTGTTTCATTTATCCCAGGCTGTCTTCAGTTCTCTGGTTGAACAAGAATGACCTTGAATTCCTGGTCATCCAGTCTACCAAAGGCTGAAATAACAGTCATATATAAGCATACCTGGCCTAATGGACATATTTTTAAATTTTCTGTCAAGATAGTATAGTCCTGTTAGTTTAGATATCTTTACTTTGATATGTTTCTCAAATTGGTTTTGGAATGATCAGTATCTGTACAGAACGGAAAAGCTGATGTTGCTGACAGTTGGGCTGTTTAATAGATGCTACTTATTGTTCTCAGCTGAACATATGCTTTGCCCATTCTTCATTAGAATGTTAGGCTTTTCTTACCCCCTTAAACATTTTAACATGAAATGCTATTTGCTTATCACTACTTTCCTTCAGTTTATTCTTTGGCTTTTAGCTTACCTTTTAACACAAAACTTTATTCTGTGAGGTTGAATCAGTTGCTTTTTCCAATGTTTTCTCTTACTGATAGTTTTCTGGGGGAGTCCTCTTTTGCAAACTTTGTCTATACATCTTTATGGATATGTGACCTGAGAGGGAACAGAAGCTTTTATAATGGGGATAGAATTTTCAGGGATTAAACCAGCATTGTGTCAGTCTGTGTTCATATTTGCTGGCCTATCTAAAACTAAAGATATCTCACCAGATTTCAAAGAACCATGTCTGCCTTTGGCTGCTACTTATAAATAGCAGACAATACAACTTAAATTTCTTCAGAGTTGCAAAGATTTGCTTCTCTTAGGAGAGCCTGAGAAGTCTCTTGATTCTGCCATCCAGTTAAACTGGTGGGGAAAAAGAAATATATGAATATATATAGAAAAAGAACTCAAAATTTGTGGAAATGGTTCTAAAGGCAAACTGCAAATGGAGAAGCTTCTAATCAGGAATATATATACAACTATGGTAGGTGGTAAAGATAGCTCATTAAAATAGTTACTCAGAAGCATGAGAAAACCTAATTCAGTCTTCAGAACTCACATTTAAAAAGCCAGGAATGGTGGCACTTGCTTATAATCCTACCACTGAGGTGGAGACAGATATGTTCATAGAGCTCAGCAAGTTCCAAATTCGGTGAGGGACTTTGTCTCAAAAATAAGGGCCGGGGTGCCTGACAAATGACCCCAAGATTGAACTATGGCTCTTCTCACACAAGTACACAGTTTTGTAAGAAAATGAAAGTATTAACTACAGCCTACTGCCTCCTCCCTTCCAAATCTTGATTTAGACTGACACTACCAAGACATTATCTTCTTTTTGCCTCAGCTTCGTTGTACCATTCCTTACCCTACACCTATTCTTGTTTGTTGGGGGTTTAGGTCCAGCCTAAAGACCTTATATGTCCTCCCTCCATCAAAAGTGCTCAGCTCATAAGCTAGAGAAATAGCTCAGGAGTTAAGAGCATGCACTGATCTTCCAGAGGACCAAAGTTTGGATCCCAACACCCGTATTGGGCAGTTCAAAACTACTCCATGGATTTTTTTTTTTTTTTGACACTCTTCTTTTGGCCTCTGTGGACACCCAAATACATGTGATAGATATCAACACAACCACAAGAACATTGTGAGTTCTTAACCACTGCGCCATATTTCCAGCCCATGTTGATGCCTACCTTCATCTAAATGTTTTACAGGACTCTTAACTGAAGTAATGTTCAGATAGAAATATTATGTGTAGCTGGTCCCTCAAATAATTATATTAAAAAATATTTTAATGAGTACAGCTGTAAAGCAATGTTTACATTTATTTTTAACCAAAATTTGCTTGTAATTGAAAATTACTAATATGTCACTTTTATACAGGCTGGATTCTACTGACATTTACAATGAATTGAAAGAAACATATCCTGCTTACCTTCCTCTGTATGTTGCACGTCTTCATCAATTGGATGCTGAAAAGGTTTGATATAGTAATTTTTTATACTAATTTTAGGTTTTTGTATAATAGTAGTTAAAGTTTGTATTTTTGAGTAAAGGTGGATCTCTGCCTTCTTTTCCTGCTGACTGAAAATGAATCTCTTCCAATTAAGATAATTATATGTCATAATATAATTATAAGAACTAGCCACTCCTGAGTTCAGTTTTGGTAATGAAGTGCAGTGTGTATGTGTGGTAATTATGTGACGATGGTACTTGAATGGTTAGTGAGATCTTAAAACAGGAAAAAGTATAAGGTCTGATTTTTGGCTTTAAAGAATGAGTTGTCCAGGGCAGCTGGAAATCTAAACACTTTCAGGAACTACTTTGTTACCAAAGTTTTTATAATACCAGCTTGTCTAATGTAGAACATAGGCCAGCTGTTGTTACTGTTAATGGAAGTAGGAACATGACTGAATCATGAAGGTTTAGACTGAACTAGAATAGAATATTTAAAGGAGGCCTCTCAAAAGCAGTCTGACAAAAGAGAAAACAACTAAGTCAACTATTCAGGATGGTCATAGTTAAGAGTCTTGGTTATAATCTTTGTTTACTCTTTCTTATTTTAATGATTGTTTAGAAAGAATTTGCTTGAGAATGAGGATTTATAGGATTTTTAATTTCTGCTTTTTCATGTGATGTAGCATAAAATTGAGATTGTTATCTCTAAAATCTTAATGGTATTCTAGAAAGGAATTTTCCTTGTTTGAAAAGAAGTCATTTTGGTAAACTTTATATATTTGTTTTATTTTCAGTTCTGAACTTAAGTTAGATATTGTCGCACCTGAGGTTGCTTTTCAGGAATACTGGAAATGGTAAAAGTAACATTAGTAGATAGCACAGAGCTCTAGGCCTACAAGGAAATAATATAGTGCCCATAGAGTTTCATGTCTGCGACAGTAGAAATAAAATTTTAATGCAGTATCTTATATATACTCCTTTACTTCCTACCCAGGAACGAATGAAAAGACTTAATGAAATCGTTGATGCTGCCAATGCTGTCATTTCTCACATCGATCAAACCGCTCTTGCAGTTTACATTGCAATGAAGACTGACCCCAGGCCTGATGCAGCTACTATAAAAAAGTACCTAACCAGTAAATAATCTTTCTTGCATCTCATTTCTTAGTTATTTGTTTAATAATTAGGGATTAGTGTTGAAGATTTTTTATTTCTTTTAAAACATACAGTTAGGATTGACTTTTTTTTTTCCAACCTCCTCAGAAATTTTATAATTTTCTTCAGCTTTTTAAAACACAGCCCAAGAAAATAACCCATGTCCACTCTTTGGTTGGTGGTTTAGTCTCTGTGAGCCCCAATGACTCCAGGTTAGTTGATTTGTAGGACTTCTTGTGGTGTCCTTGACCCCTCCAACTCGCTCAGTCCTATTCCCCACTCTTCCACACAACTTCCAGAACTCCTCCTGATGCTTAGGTATGGGTCTCTGCATCTCTTTCCATTGGCTTCTGGATAAACCCTTTCAGGAGACTCTGCAAGCATAGCAGAGTATCATTAATATTGTCAGGGCTTGACTTTTTCCCAAGGGATGAGTCTCAAGTTGGGCCAGTCATTGGTTAGCCATTCCCTTAAACTCTGCTCCATCTATATCCCTGCATATCTTGTAGGCAGGATAAATTTTGGGTTGAAGATTTGTAGGTGAATTGGTATCCCCTCCCTCCACTGCAAGTCTTGCCTAGGTATAAGAGGTAACTGACTACTACAGTCTCCATGTCCCCAGCTGATAGGAGTCTTATTAGATAGGGTTACCCCAATAGACTCCTCGGAGCCTCCCCATCCCAGATCTCCAGCTTGTCCCAGAGGTGTCCCTCATTCACCGATTTTCTTTCTCATTCCCCAAACCTCCACAATGCTCCAGAGACCTGTTCCTCAACCCTACCCCGACCCTTCCAGTTCCCTTGCTTCTTCTTCCTCCATGGCCTATTTTATTTCCCCTTCTGAGTCAGATTCTGTCATCCTCCCTGTTCCTTAGTCTCTTTGGGTCTATGGATTGTAACATGGTTATCCTGTACTTTATAGCTAATGTCTGCTTATAAGTGGGTACATATTCTGTTTGTCTTTCTGAGTCTGGTTACCCAGGATGATATTCTCTAGTTCAATCCATTTGCTTGCAAATTTCATGACATAGTTGTTTTTAATAGCTGAGTAATATTCCATTGTATAAATGCACCACTTTTTTTTTTTTAATCCATTCTTCATTTGAGGGACATCTAAGTTGTTTCCAGTTTCTTGCTATTGCAAATACAGCTGTTGTGAACAAAGTTGAGCAATTGTCCTTGTTGTATGGTGGGAAGCATCTTTGGGATATTGCTGAGGGGTAGTATAACTGGCTCTAGAGGTAGAACTATTCCCAATTTTCTGAAAAACTACCAAATTGATTTCCAAAGCAATTGTACAAGTCTGCACTCCCAACAGTAATGGGGACTGTTCCCCTTGCTCACATCCTCACCAGCATGTGCTGTCATGTCACTTGAATTTTTAATCTTAGCCATTCTGACAGGTGTATAATGATTTTAGAATCATTTTGGTTTCTGTTTTCCTCATGATTAAGGACATTGAACATTTCTTTAAGTGCTTTTCTTTGTGGAGAATTCTGTGTTTAGCTTTGCACTTTATTTCTTAATTGGGCTATTTGGATTGTTGCTGTCTAATTTCTTTGAGCTTTTTGTGTATTTTATGATTAGTCCTCTGTTACCTCTTTTCCCATTCTGTAGGCTGCTGTTTTGTCTTACTGACAGTGTCCTATAGCCTTGCAAACCCTTTTCACTTTCATGGGGTTAATTCAGTTAATTCAGGTTTTCTTGGGATCTGAGCCATTGGTTCAGGAAATTGTCTCCTGTGCCAATGAGTTGAAGGCAATTCCCCACTTTTTCTTCTATTAGATTTAGTGTATATGGTTTTAAGCTTAAGTCTTTGATCCATTTGGACTTGAGTTTTGTGTAGGGAAATAAGTATGGTTCTATTTGCATTCTTCTACATGCAGACATCTGGTTATACCAGCAGCATTTGTTGAAGATACTTTCTTTTTTACATTGTATGCTTTTGGCTTCTTTCTCAAATGTTAAGTGTGCTTTGGTGTGTGGGTTTATTTCTGGGTCTTCAGTTCTCTTTCATTGATCAACCTGTCTGTTATTATGCCACATGGTTTTTACTACTCTTGCTATGTAATACAGCTTTAAATCAAGGATGCTGATACCTCCAGAAATTCTGTTGTTGTACAGTATTGTTTTATATATCCTGCATTTTTTGGTTTCTTTTTTTCCATATGAAGTTAAGATTGCTTTTTCAAAGTCTCTAAAGAATTGAATTGGAATTTTGATGGGAATTGAATCTGTAGATTGCTTTTAGTAAGATGACCATTTTTATTCCATTAGCCCTATAAATCCATAAGCATGAGAGATCTTTCAATCTTCTGATATTTTCTTCAATTTCTCTCTTTAGAGACTTGAAGTTCTTCTCATACAGATCTTTCACTCGCTTGGTTAGAGTTCACATTGAGATATTTTATATTATTTTTGGCTATTGTGTAGGATGTTGTTTCCATAATTTTTCTTGGCTTGTTGATCATTTGTATGAAGGAGGGAGGGCTGCTGATATTTTTTTTGTGCGGATGGGGGCAGAGGGGAGAGACCCGGCCTGCGGGTCAGTCAAAAGGGTCTGCAAGAGAGAGAGTGGGGATGGAGGAGCAAGAATGAAACCGAGACAAAGTTTTCAAGGCCTGTTTATTGAAACAAAATCATGGGTATATAAGCACAACCAGGGGAGTGCAGCTGAAGACACTTAATCACAAGTGCCTTCCAGCTGGGGACACTAAACAACAAGTTCAAGATATATCTGAGGAAAACAAGATGTTTATCAGAGTGTGCTCAGCTGTTGTAGGCTGTTTGCAAAAACATCATGGTAGAAAAACAAGTCTTTTATCAGGGTAGAAAAGTATCAACCTTCAAATATATGGCCTGAGATGGCTGCAAAAATGATAGCCATTTTCTGCTAGGAGTTGGCTCCCAACATGTGTGTGTTAATTTTATATCAGGCCACTTTTACTGAAGGTATTTATCGGATAGAGAGTTCTCTGTTAGAATTTTTGAGGTCCCATATGTATACTATCTTATCATCTAGGAATATTGATGCTTTGACTTCCTTTCTAATTTGTATCCACTTGATGTCTTTTAGCTGTATTATTACTCTAGCTAGAATGGCAAGTGCTATATTGAATAGATAAGGACAGAGTGGGTAACTTGTCTTGTTCCTGATTTTAGTGGAAATGATTTTAAATTTCTCTCCGGTTAATTTGATGTTGGCTTTTGACTTGCTGCATCTTGCCTTTATTGTGTTTAGTTGTGTATCTTGTACCCTTGATCTCTTCAAACCTTTTAACAAGAAGGGGTGTTGGATTTTGTCAAAGCAGTCTGATATGATCATGTGGTTTTAATCTTTCAGTTTGTTTATATGATGGATTACATAGATGGATTTTTTATATTGAACCACCCCTGAGTCCCTGCGATCAAAGATAATTGTGATGAATGATAGTTTAGATGTGATCTTAGATTCAGTTTGCAAAGATTCAGTTTATTATTTTTGCATTCATGTCCATAAACAAAATTGGTCTGAATTTCTCTTTCTTTGTTGGTTTAGGTATCAAGAGAAACTGTGGCCTCATAGACTGAATTTGGTAGTGTTCCTTCTGTTTCTATTTTGTGGAATAGTTTGAAGAGAATTGGTATTAGCTCTTCTTTGAAGGTCTGGTAGAATTCTGCACTAGAACCATCTGTCCCTGGCCTTTTTTTTTTTGGGGGGGGGGGGGGGAGTTGGGAGGTTTTTAATGACTGCTTCTATTTCCTTAGGGGTTATGGGACTGTTTAGATAAGTTTCCCTGATCTTGATTTAACTTTGGTACATGTCCTGAAAATCATCCATTTCATCTAGATTTTCCAGTTTTGTTGAGTATAGGCTTTTGTAGTAGGATCTGATAATTTTTTAAATTTCTTCAGCTTCTGTGGTTATATATCCATTTTCATTTCTGATTTTATTAATTTGGATACTGTTTCTGTGCCCTCCAGTTAGTCTGGCTAAGAGTTTATCGATCTTGTTGAATTTCTCCAAGAACCAGCTCTTGGTTTTGTTGATTCTTTATATTGTTTTCTTTGTTTCTAATTGACTGATTTTAGCCCCGAGTTTGGCTATTTACTGCCCTCTACTCTTCTTCGGTGTGTTTGCTTCTTTTTGTTCTAGTGCTTTCAGTTGTGCTGTTAAGTTGATAGTATGGGATCTAATTTCTTTATGAAGGCACTGAGTGGTATGATTGATTTTTTTTTTTTCCTTTTAAGACTGCTTTCAATGTAACCCATAAGTTGGGTATGTTGTGCCTTCATTTTCATTGAATTCTAGGAAGTCTTTAATTTCTTTTTTTTTTTTTTTGGTTTTTCGAGACAGGGTTTCCATGTGTAGCCCTGGCTGTCCTGGAACTCACTCTGTAGACCAGGCTGGCCTCGAACTCAGAAATCCGCCTGCCTCTGCCTCCCAAGTGCTGGGATTAAAGGCGTGCGCCACCAACGCCCGGCTTGTCTTTAATTTCTTTACTTCTTCCCTGAACAAGTTTTCATTGACTAGAAAGTTTGTGGGCTTTTTGTTGTTTCTGTTTTTATTGAAGTCCAACCTTAGTCCATGGTGATCTGATAGGATTCAAGGGATTAATTTAGTCTTCTTGCATCTGTTGAGGTTTGTTTTGTGTCCAATTATATGGTCAGTTTTGGAGAAGTTTCGGCAAGGTGCTGAGAAGAAGGTATATATTCTTTTGTTTTGGGGTCACATGTTCTGTAGATATTTATTAAAGCCATTTGGTTCATAACTTCTGTTAGTTTCATTGTGTCTCTGTTTAGTTTCTGTTTCAATGACCTGTCCATTGCTGAGAGTCGGGTGTTGAAGTAGCCCACTATTATTGTGTGGGGTTCAATGTGTGTTTTGAGCTTTAGTAAAGTTCTTTCATGAATGTTGATGCCCTTGCATTTGAGGTATAGTTGTTCAGGATTGAGACTTGATCTTGGTGGATTTTTCCTTGAGTATGAAGTGTCCTTCCCCA